GCTCAGCCTGCCTTAAGATATACCATCCTAGCGCAAAAAGCACAGCACAATGAATATTTTTTTAGCATAAGCATTAACACAGAGCAAGTTATTAGTTTTTAGGCTACAATACGGTAAACATGCATGCAAAACAGTGAAACGAAAAAGCGATTTCTACGACAAAAGTGAAAGAATGTAAAAGCTGGATGGTTATCCTGTTAAGAGGAGTCGTTATCCACGCGGAATCACGCCCTCTATGAAGCAGGGGTGATCGTCCAACGACTTTTTAGTGAGTGTATTCACCCATGGTTGCCACCCGCCAGGGTAGCCACTGCTTTTCTGACAGCCATACACAGGCACGTTCCACTTACAGCAGCCGGGCTTGTTGTCATCAGGGGAAGTGACTCTGGCGCCGCCTCCATAACGGGGTTGAGGCTGCGCATCCCCTCCTCTGCACTGGACCCCACTCAGGATCTGTACACCATACAATAAAACTAGCTAGACAGCCATTCAAGCAACGACCACGATTAATCACAGATTGCCACATACCGCAAAGGAAACCAGGGCGCAAAAGGTCAAGAGAATCATCGGATTCATGATGAAACAGGCAGACTACCTAAACCGAAGAAACCTGTAGAAAGCATAAGTTTTAATTTGGATCTGGGAAAGTAAGTGTACTTCACAAATGCGACAATGAGCAAGTATCTCAAACAGCGAGATTTATATCTTTGTAGTTTCCGGTACGCGTCAGTTCCAATTGTTCGGTGCGTTGGTGCCAAAACAAATTTGCTGATAAGCACTATATTCTTGGTATCCCTCAATTTTTAGTCAGCATGCATCCGCGAAATAAGTGCATATTCCGAAGATTCTTGCTGACAAAAGAATAGAGAAACATAGCGCTGTGTGTATTGAGCGCGCCAAGTTATCCAATCAGTGAAAGCTGAACAGGCGGTGGCGGTCCTGCTTTCGCGAAAGCCACTCGAGGAAAACGAAAGCGTTTATCGGAAGCGCCTTTTTGCATAATATATTGTAGATTTTTATGCTGGTCTCAGCTCTTCCAGCGGTACTTACACCTAAGTGCTTCTCCATGAAGCGCGCAGAGCATGTTGTCATGTCAGACTCATCGTTTCGCCTTCCTGTAATTTCAGCGGTTCAGTGTACACACCACTATACAAACACTGTAATTGATTTTTCAAAAAATTTTGAAATCTTAATACAAATACTAATCATGTGCAGAAAATATTTAATTCGAATTCTTGCAACTTAGAAAGCCGAGAAAACTATGGTGCTGCAAGATCAACGAATCTCGGCAATCTTTGTGGTAATAACTGTGATAATTTGTGTTAGCACATCCATAAAATTTCTGAACTACATAACGTTGCAGCCGTTTATGAGGAGTAGAACGTCCCAGTATATGCAGAGTACTAATACCATATAAATATGTACCAAGAATCTGCTGTTATTGTTAGCTCAACGGACAGCGGTGCACGCACTGCACGACTACTGTGCACTTATGAGATTCTGTAACATCCAAAGGTTTTGCAGGTTAGCAGCTGTTGATCTTCGGTTATTTCGTTTCTATCGTCAACCGTAAACGCGCGAATAAACTGCATCCATCGTCGTGCACCGCACATAAACAAGGAACCTTTCAAACACAGTTATTAGAAACTACAGCAAGAATTCATCATCCTCTAATACAGCCGGTTGTGCTGGTATTGCTTCCAACACGACCGCAGTTCGGGTCGATTTCATTTCGATTTTCCTTCAGTTGCAGCACGAAGGTCCCGTAGGAGAATAAAACACCCATCATCTGCAACAGTATTTGCCGGTAACGAGAGTACAAGCATGTTGAAGAGGTACAGTACGACGCTGATGCCGGTCGTAAATAATGACCAGCAAATGCAGATTCTAAGCATTATCGTTGACATCTTACCGTTCCAACGAACGTTCGGTCGATGGCGACAATACCACCCAAGGAAAACCCGGCGGGATTCGACATTATCCAGTATAAATCCGTAAACATTTTGCTAAACTTGAGCGGATTTGTTTGCCAATCAGTCAAAGTCCGGATTTCCTTTGTCACATTCGCCTTAAAATGTGCATTAATACATAGTAATTGATTTCACTTTCATCGGTTAATATTTTTAAATACACCGCATTGTGACTTTGCACAAGTTATGCATAAAAGGCCAGTATATGACAATCTTCCTTGACATCACTGAATTAGCAATATTACCAATACCAGGGTATATGATTTCTTTGACAGCACTTATGTTGGCTGAAAAATCTGATGAATTATTATCATCATTACCTGTTCACGGACATATATCATAGCAGCAGTAATAATCAGGGTGGAAGTTATAGTTAGTGCCACGCTGTATGCGTGAAGTCCTGCCGGTGTGACAGCGGTTGCAGGCGTTGAATTGGCGAAATTATTGATCGTCCATACAATCCAGACAATCGACTGTACAAAGAACACCAGCAGAAATCCCCCGATATGCTGCGACAGGCTTTCGATCAAATTGCACATATTGAAGTAATTGCGAATGTGTTCTTTTAAGATTCCTTCCTCTTTCTCCAATTTCAGGCGCTGCTTAATCCGCAAGAACAACCGACCAATGATGCAGCAGAAAACGACGAAGAGTGTCGCAATAAAGTTGACCAAAAACGTTCGGATAACGAGAAACCCGGTGTAGATGTACTGGATAAATCGTGTCTTAAAGCACGAAACACCGTAAGTATCCGCTACAAATTTCGTTTCGGCTGCGCTAGCTAAACTGAAGCTAATGTGAAACCAGCGTGGATGAAAATTCTGAGCGCACGTCAATATAGTGAAGAGTGTAACCGTCGTCACGGTGATAATTAGCCGCCGTTCTCGTTGAGAAAAGTATTCCGCTTCGTAGTGCCGGATGCGCTGCATGGTTGCCAGAATGTTTTTCCACTCAACTGCCACGATCACCGATGCCAAAAGCGAGACAACTTCCCGTTGTCGCAAACACACCAAGTAGAAGAAGTTTTCCATGGTTCCTGTCAAACCGTACATCAGTAATGGAAACGTGACGCAAGAAACGTAAAAAAACTTGATCACGGTGAATATAATAATCCAGGAGTAAGCGGCGATGACCTTCCAGTAATATTTACCGGGGCGCTCGTGATCAGTCATCCATAACGGACAGATTCCACTGACTTTGAGAAGCGTCTCCCAGAATGTGACTACAACGTTGAGAAACTGACTGATGACCTTTGGGCGTTTTGAACCAGTTGTTAAATCCATCTCCGAGCGGCTTTTTTAGAGTGGTAGGGGAACTGCAGAACCCAGCCTGTATTTATGTAACAAAGTTAAGTGTCCCGTGCTTATGATGGTAGTGAGTGTCTCGCCTAAATGGTAAGGGTTACGTAACAAGGTTTTCGGATTCCCCAGGGAATGAAATAAGTCTTCACTGTTCGGTTTGCCTGGCAGGGCGTTTTTGAAAACGTCGGCATTAAATGCTGGTGATGAAACCCCTCTCGATGATTCTGTTTTCGACAGTCCGGTTCAATAGATGTGTACAACTGCATTTGCAATTGTTAGAAATACTCTGTACATCGAGATAGTGCTATGGAGACAGCGTCGTTTGCGCTGCAGCAGGCGCTCAATTCTGCGTTCATAGCCGCTGCCGCTGCTCCTGAGTTTCGCATCATCATAGCGTAAGGTGCCACACTTTTTGGAAGCAGAAAAACATAGAACGTAGCGCATAATTGCCCTGTCGCTGTGTGCGGTTTCTGTGCTCTCATTTAATTGCGTAAACTTTTATGATCGATCTAACTTTTATTTCTTTTTTCGAGGCTTTAGAAAACACGCTCTGTGAATTTTCTATGCTGTTACGATGCCCGTGTACCATGATTTCCAATTTAGCATTAGCGATCATGTTACACGAAACACAATATTACGATTAAGTAACCGTATGTTACAATTGCAGTTACATCAGAGAAACATACGAAATACCTATTGTAGTTTAGGTTTTTATCCTGCCGGCGTGGTTGCTGTTGTTGCGGCCCTCGTCGTCACACATGAGCTCCACAGTGCGGTATCCACCGGCCTGCAATATTTCATGCACACCATGATGCACTGCTCTAATCTATTTGGCTATAGCGTCCTTCCCGTCAAGTTGTCCGTCGCTATCATGTTGCTAAACGAATCCGGATCCCACAACGCAAAACTTTAAATTACTGCTGCACTCACGTGACAATTTACCTATCTGAATTATGGAACCGGTGTTTCAGCTTGGAACGTGACGGTAAAAACGCTATCCGTGGCTGTGGCTCCACCGGAATCGTAAACTTGACAGGAAGGGTTTGTAAACTTTGCTGCAGTCTCGATGGTAATTTCCGGAGATGTCTGCCTTTACCGGTACTTATTGGAATGAAACGTTTCACCATCGCAATGCTTTCCATTACTTCCAGTGTGCCGACCGCTCGTAGTTGGAGTCTGACATAAGCTGTAGACTGTATGTTCAGATAGAGAGTGTAAAAGTGAACTAACGTAGTTCCTGCTTTTTCTACTGCACAGGTTCTGCAGCGAAATGTTTGCTGTACATGCTCATGTTTAGTAAAGTTCTTAATCTATTGCAGTAGCTTGTTAATTTATTTAGCAGAGAGCAGCATCTTAACAATTGTGTCATAATCAGCACCAATCGCAGCGATCTACTACACTTAAAGGAAAATGACTTTGGAGACAAAGCGAGCACACTGTCTCAATTTTGTCTTTGGAGACAAAATTGGAGACAAAGCGAGTCTTTGGAGACAAAGCGAGCACACTGTCTCAATTTTGCTGATTCTGGTACTCCTTTTTAGCGGGACAGGAGCGCGCTTCTGTGCCACTGTCGCGATTAAAAATAATTGTCATCTCAGTATGGACATGACCGAAAGTCTAAGCGTAATTTCTGTTTTTTTTTTCTACTGAAAGGAGATCCTGGCTTAGGTTCTTATACATACCGTAGCGTAACAGTGGATTTTGCATACAGACTGTAAAATGCAGGATGCATGGCGTTCCTTTTTATCTGTAGGCGGTCAAAACAGCCATTTACTATGTCGCAGAAGATCCTGTATAATTGGTAAGTCACAACTCATTTCGTATTTCTAGACTGCGGTCGCATCATAAAAAAACACTATTTTTTAAATTAATATTTTTTTTATCCATTCATGTTTTTTATATTCATTCATTTCGAATAATTAGGAGGTCGTGGTGGTGGTAGCGGTAGTTGTCGTTGGCTTGCAGTATCCAAGGTTCTCCAGATACATCTAGAGTAACATCATCGCGGTTCACCGGGACAGAATTAGGCCCTCATATACTATAGTGATTACTTTATGGTTTATAGTAGTTCTATGTATTGCAAATCACATTGCGTTAATTCTAAATGATCTGAACTATGGGATGGCACGAGGCGCAGTTGTTAAAGTAGTGTAGTCGGTGTACAATACAGGTACTGTATATGGGCGGGTTTACCTGTATATAGTAGACTCCTAGCTGATAGCCGGTGAAGCTGTCAGTGATGGTCATCACGCCGTAGTTGGGAATGCCCGAGTTGACGTCGCATCCCGGATTGTTGACGTTGACAATCAGAGCGCCGTCGCTGCGCACTTCCGCGCAGGGCAGGTTACTCAGTTGGTAGGATAATCGGTAGAAAGGGCAGCTCTAATACAGATCAATTTGTCACATACCACTACCACTTATTAATTTATTACAAATTTTACAAAAGGTTATACACGAATCTGCAATATACAGACCCAGCAAATATCTGCTAAAGCATGGTACAATTATTCGTTGTTAACTTGTTATACCCAAACTGCGCCTCTTACGCACAGGTACAAGAAATGCACGCAGACTGCTTACTATATAATCCGGGGTAAGAAACTGTTCTTGGCAGTAGATCGGATGGTAGTTTCCGTTGTTTTGTGACGTCGAAAGTGTGTAAGAAACTGTAGCATAAAAAGCAGCGATACTCGTGCCGTTAATTGTGAGGTGATGTTGCAGTGCCGTGCTTAGAGTTCAATGATACTACTAAGGCAGTACGTATTAATTTTTAATGAATAAATTTTCTATGTACCGCTGCAAGCTGGCGGTGTTGTTGCGCCCATGGCTGTTGTTGTTGCCGCCGTGGATGTTGTCGTTGCTCCCGTCGCTGTTGTTGTGCCGTAGCAGCTCAGCATTGAAGTGTCTATCTGCAGTAAGAATTTCACGGTAATTATCGCTCTGGCTATCAATTGGCAATCCTTATTTTCGGCATAGATCTAATATTATAATTTCACAATTATTCATCTTCATCATGGCAACAAAAGTTAGAATTAGGAAGTTGATGGAATTTGGAACTACAACGGAAAACGTAACACTGCAGTGCTGACCTGGATCGAGCTGGTCGCTAGGGTCGCCCCCGTCCAGCTATCCCTTGCTGTTAAGTTGCCCATATAAACGATTCCGGGTCCCACAGCGCAGCCGCCGCTAACGGGATTAAACCGTACTACGCCGAAGCTATCAATGGAGGTACAAGAAAATGGCAATGAAGGTATGCCTGCCACCAGCTGAAAGGTCACCCTCGAAGAGGGGCATCCCTGAAAATGGTTGACAGTACAGTATGGAAAATTCAAGAACATGTTTTGTGTTTGCACCATTTCCTTACTATTACGGTGGCTGGGTTAAACGTCTGATCGCATATCCAGAGATGAAACGGTCCCTGGTCAATAGTTACTGCAGTAAACCAAAAAACAGAGCATAATAAGCACCGTGTTATGTGCCTCAACCACAACAAAATTTTAACAGAAAAATTGTGATTCAAAATGTTTGGCATTTCTTATGACTTTACCCACCGCTGCAAGTAGGAAGTGGCGCGGTGGTTGTCGTTTCCGGTGGACAGGGTGGATTAGGCCCCGGAAGGAGCGGAACAGGGTAGTAGACAACCGGCGCACCGCCTCCGCAACCACCACCGCAACACCGGTTTCCGCCCAGCAGGTAGGATAACATCCCGGCGAACCCGTTACATCCTCCAGATCCAGGATAGCCCCCTCCGTATCCCTGATATCCGGGATAGGATCCATCGCCTCCCCATGGATACTGGCAGTTGATTGTGCAGCACATCAGGCTGCAGATAAAGGTTACCGTAAGCAGATTCATTTTTATAATTTACTATGAGTCCAGTTAAAAAAGGCGCCTTAACGTGGGGTCTGCAGCTGCCGGATGCATGTCTGGCTTTCCGCAAAGGCCTTTATATAATTGTAATTTCTTGTTTTTTTATTACCTTTCCTTATTTGCGAGGTATTTACGAACGTGCACTTGTGTCATTGATTATCGTTTTTACAGGAACTTTTCGTATTTCATAGTGTAAGAGGCCAAACATCTTCTAGTTGTTAAAAGTTTCTGGTGGATATTCTGCCTGGCCGGGATGTCGCTGTGCAACGATTCTAGCGCATACACGTGCCGGTTTTATGATGGCTTATAATCTAGGAACGAATTACTGGTATTTCGGTGTAGAACGTAACAGTAAAACGTTATCAGTGGCGCCAGCGGAACACTTGGCAACTTCTTTGAGAGGTTTTCAGGCTTTGTCCAAATAGTAGCGACGGTAATTCCCGAAGACGTATTCTTTTATCGGTACTTAACTGAATGAAACGTTTCAGGATGGTGATGTGTTCACGTTGCTTTCGGTGGCCGCCATTGCTGCCACAGGGTAGATCGACAGCTTCTGTAGTGAGCATAACAATACTTTTTTCTGCATTTCCTTTTGTGAATTGCATCTTTTCCAACATTTTTATAAAATTAAGCGCTATATGAGCTACAGCGCACATAGTACTTCTTTTGACCATGAAACAAGAGTCATTTTGTTATACGAATAACGTTATTAACGTTATACGATAAGCTGTAAAAATAAAGTGGATATACTGCGCACGCACTACCCGGTACAGAATAAGCATTGCACTGGGGTATACAAGTACCGTTGGCAGTCAGCTGAAGTCAGATTACACGTATAATTACTCGACTTACAACATAATGTTGATGCATGTGCATAATATAATAATTATTACATGCGTATAATATTGATACCTGTGCTGTATTTAAATTTATTTACTTATTTACCGGCTAGTCGACCATGCCTACAGAGTATGTAACTGTACAATTTGAAGTACTTAATATGAGATTAAAGCAAAGTCATTATAAATTGAGGGTACAAATATTTAAACATCATTTATTAAATTATTACAAATCGTTCTTCTCAAGCGAATAGAAACTTGTTGCAGAACAAAAGAAGAATTACAGTACTAGGACTGGATCAACTGCGAAAACGCGGCACCCGCTTTTAGTTCGAAATTCACGATCGGTTATATTAACTGTTCGCCCCAGTTCCCATGCATTTACACCCATCAATAAGCCAAAAGCGCGCTGGCTGAAATCTGTCTTGTAAAACTCGATACAACCTTTAATTCTAGCTTGTAAGCAATTGCAAGCTTAACACTCGCACAATTTCACGTTCGATTTACGTCGGCTTTTCCTGTGCGCCGGCCAGGCAGCTCCAATCACGATCGTGCAACACGCCCATTTCCGGCTGTGTTACGAGGCTTTTACACTCTTGCGCCAAATTTAACATTCCAGTTACAGTTTGCCTGATCTGATTTTTTTATCATTTCCTGAATTTTGTAATTCATTTACTTTTGCGCTTCGCAGAGTAAGTTCCGATATTAGAAAATCTGGGTCGACCCATTGTAGTTTTGTAAGTTCCTAAATCATCGGTATTATGGAGCATTGATTTGCAGATCAAGACTGGGACGCTCAGTAATACCCTTGTCATGGGCCTTGTGCCTGCGAAAAATATCGTTTTCTGAATAATTTATATTAACTCGTTCTTCAAAGTCTGCGATATCTACCGTAGCTCAAAAACACAGCCAGCAGCGCATATCTGCAGAATCTACGAGGAAAGATGGTCGATGTTATGTCTACTTTTCAAATGGAGTCGACTCCTGGGTAGTTAGCCGTGTTTATTTGAGCCGTCACTATGGCAAATTCGGTTCTTATTTTTGCGAGATGGACTCATCTAGGAAGCCGAGGCTCCCATTTACTCTGATGAACTGGTCTCCATTGCGTTATTTCCAGATAATAACAATCACAACAATGTAACGAACTGCTTATCTTCTGACGTACGGGATCGATAAACATATTCGGACGTTTCATCAGTGAGCTCTTCGGTTTCTGTATAAACCAGCAATTCAACTTGCTCTGACTCTGAGGCTGTTTTTACACGGTTGCTGCTGAGGTCGACCTCAGACGCGGTGTTCACACGGCTCCTAATTAGCAAATGATATTATTTTTACATTTTAGATTATTTTTTGGAGGAAAACATATTATCAATAATGAAAAGCAAAGAAAACTATCGAATAACAATCATGCCTCAACCACCTAAATAATCAGCAAATAAAGTATTGGTAAGATTAAATTAGCGCAGTCTGCTACAAAGCCAGTCCGAGGGAGACGGTAGAATCGCGGACAGAGCGATTTTTATAGTCTCCTGTGTCACAAACTTTTCTTCCCGTATCAACAAAACAATTTTCCCTAAATGTCAAATGGTTTTAAAATATGCTGAATGACAGGATCTAGCAACGTACGTTGTCCGATTTGAAAACAAAAAATCTGGTCGAGCGTAAATAAGGAAAACGTGTGTCACTTCCGGTTCGGGAGTGTTCCCGTTTTTGTTGGCCAAAATTAACACAGTTGGTCTGCTTTCCTCAAATTTGATCTAGTTTGATAGCTTATCAAATTCTCTAGGAATACATGTAAGGCTAGAGAGCGTGGCACAACTACAGAATTTGTTTTCAGTTTTTTAAGCATTTATTGCGCCTGAGCGGCAGTAGAAATTGTGCGAGTGTTAAGGGATTTGGCCCGGTACATAGCACCAAGTTCGTGATCATCCAGGGGAAGTTTCGCTGGTGCGCGCTCCCAAACACTTTTTTGCATTGCTTTATGGTATTTTGTAGCCAGAAGAATTGTTTACCTAGGTGAGAAAACCGTTTGCAACATATCCGGTTGCGAAGTTATGAGGGTATCAAAATTCCAAGAGTTTGAATGCAGTCAGGTGTAATAAAGTTCACCGATCCTTTCAAATTTTGCGCGCAATGCACATTACCATGAAGATCGTTTTGACACGGATCCAGACTTCTACGATTTTTTCAAATTTTAAAATGAATTTTAAAATTTTTGAAATTAATTTTAAAATTTGAAAACATGTTAGAACAGTGGATCCGTGTCAAAACGATCTTCATGGTTATGTGCATTTACAAAATTCGAAAGGGATCGGTCCATGACTTTACACCTGAATGCATTTAAACTTTTTGAAATTTTGTTACCTCATAACTCCGCAACCGGATGTTGCGCGCGAAAACGGATTTCACGCCTATGTACACCAATCATTTGGCTACACAATGTCAAAAACCAACCCAAAAAAGTGTTTGAAAGTGCGCGAAAGCGAATATTCCCGTCAATGTACACGATTGTAGCGCTATGTACCGGGCCAAATCCCTTAAGCAAAGAATGACTTGATTACATCAGAATCCCGGTCACGGATTATCCCAGTATCCCAGGACGCCCTGTCGTCGACGTCAGCCCCGGAATGGGTGTCACCAGCACCGGCACACCTGGAACCGTCGGTCCACTGCCGGCGGGCAACCCCACACCTCCTGGGATAGCCCCAACCGTCGGGAGGACACCACCGGGGAATGGCGTGGTCCCGAGCACTTCCAAAGGCAGCGTTGTGGTCGGGACAGTGGCCGGTAGTGTTGTTGGGACGGTAGGTGGGTTGGTGGCAACGGTGGCGCCCGTGGTGATGGGTGGTGGAGTAGCCGGTACACCTCCGGGGCCGATGGGACCGTTGGGTACCGGGACGACGTTAATCGGCGATCCGGGGAAGAGTATCGATACGGGACGTTCGGGGAAGGGTAGGTGCGCCGTGAGGATGTTGGCGCCCTCCGGACGTCCGGGAATCGGATCGCAGATGGTCGTATGAACGACTCCCAGGAATATTAACAACGGTGTGTGGATGGGTAGCATTATCGATGATTAAACGAAATCAGTTAAGGAATTATGAGTATTTTTGCTAAGTTTATGTAAAACTTGGTGCTTGTGTTCCGACTGTTTAATAAGCAGATGCATATTCAGAACACATTTACCGGTATCTGTGTACAACATTACCGATTAACGTTGAGACAGGAAATTTCCGCTTGAGATGCCAACGTGGTTCTTCCTCTTTTTTGTTTGTTTCTTCTTACGCTTCGTCAGTCAGCTGAACATTTTTCTGCCTATGTACTGCGAGTTCGATTCGTTAGTGAATCAACCAAAAACAAACTGCAAAATCACGATCGCAATGCGCTGGATGCAGTTGTATACCTATTTGATGCGCCTTAATTTCACCGTGATTGTTGTAGTACAATAACGGGGATTACACATGAAAATTGTATATAATTTGTACGACAGAAACATTGATCTTAAGTTGTGCTTAATTGATATCTGTGAATATATGTATATGTAAACAAGTTTTTCGAAGCCTAGAAGTATACATTGCCGATAGAAGCCGTACAATTCGTCCGTAATCGTTGTAATCCGGTCCAGGCCTAAACGGTGCTGTACTTGGGCACATATAATTGCTTGTTGTATGACGTAATATGAAAGCATCACTGCATTATTTTATTCAAAAGGCGTGCGTTTGAAGCGATGTATCACTTGTAAATAATCACTTGTTAACCAAAAAAATTCTACCTACAACGGTAGTACACATTCACTGTAGCTCTCGAGCTACGAGAGTCCGATACGCACTGTACCTCTACATACACAAATGTAGTAACCGGTATAACTATGTGGGATTAAAACTTCCAGAACGGCTTCTTCCAGCACAGTCGTATCCAGCCGATCCGTCGAAGTGTTAATACAATGATACGTACGAGTGCACATTGAGACTGATTGAGTTACAGTCGTACGCTTCCGCCCTGCAGGGAGCCCGGCAAGCTAATATAGGCGATTTGAAAGGCGCTAATATACGAGCTAATATAGGCGATAGGCGATTTGAAAGTTAGAGTCCTGTGCACGTTGTGGTAACTGTTTGGCCTCGTCGGATGTTATACACTTCTTTGCTCGCTCGGCTAAAATGTAATTGTACGTGTTAGCTGTAATATTCCTTCTCGCTATCCACGTAAATCGCCATAATTATAAAAATTAATTCGGGCTTGCTGGGTCGTACCAGGGCTTTCGTTCATCCGGTCCCAGGCGTTGAACGGCCAATCGGGGTCCGATGCATAGTAATCATTGCATGGCGGAAGGTTGGCTGTAAAATGTACCATTATTCATCTATACTCGTAGCTACAAAACGTTGTTACTTATTTTTCGTATGGTAAGATCAGTATGCCAAGTAGCCCGATGATGTAATAACATTAATTTATAACTCTTCCTTTCTTCGTGTCAGCCAGAAACACATATGTACATACACGGTGACTACACCTATGAACGTAATGATTTATCGTTTCATGTTTTACCCACATATCTATAGAACGATAAAATGTATTTTGGATTTACTGAGCGAAGCTGCCCTATGTACATATTGCGAATAAGATCCACCAGTTTTACGTAATTAAATATTTCACGCGATTCAGTTTTATTTCGGAAAGTTGAAAATCTGCGGAGTGCTGTACACTTTTCTGTGCCATAATATCATTGATTTTACAGTTTTTACGAAGTAGAGCAACAAATACACGTATAGTTGTTACATACCTTGTAACGGAGCACCGTAAGCATCCCGGTAGATTAGCGACACAACAAGGAGTATCCCGCCGATCCGTAGGTGCTGGTTGCCTTTCATTTCAATGTGCAAAATTCACAACGAATATTATGAATTGTCAAAAAGCCTGTATAACGTAACAGATCCCGGTTAAAAAAGATACGGATCACTCTGAAGCTCTACTCGTTGAATATTTAATTACAGTATGACGACTAAATAATATTCAACGACCATATTTTTGGAATGCCAGTTATATGCTTGTTCGCCAAGCAATAATATTATGATAATATTACTAATATATGCCACAATAAACAGTGGCAGAAAACGGTTTCTCGCAAGTCGGTTCGTGTAGTTTGCCGTCGGAAATGAAATCAGCTCAGAATCAGCTGACAGTCGCCTGTAAACTTTACAATTAATTTAGTAACAGGAAAATGACATAATAATTTTCATTACGGTCCTTGCTCATTGCTGCATGCATGAATTACGCCTAAAGAACGAACTATACCGGAAAGCACCAGTTTCCTTACGGCAAAACAACTTGATTAGGGAAGCAATGATTCAAATATCGGATGCCCATGTCGAAGCGGCGAAAGTTGAGAAACATTTTTGTTGCCTGTTTCATTAAAATACCGGGTGGCTGAACAAAATGGCAGTCTCCTGCTTTCGTTTGTATCTCGCAGACCGTTTGTCGCACCATAAACTGTTTAAGCTTGTTCGATAGAGAATTTTATTAGCTACAAACTTGAAAAGTTTTCGAAAAAATTAAGCCGTCTTCTTTTGCAATGGTGCCAAATGAAACCGTCTGAAATTTTTTCGTGTCCCAGCTCACCAAACATAAAATCTTGTGCCATTTCTTCCCGTTACGGACTTTTTTAAACATTTTAACTGTTTCCTTTAGCAAAACAAGTTTTCTTTCAACAGCGAAAAAGTTGCGGACATGCTGCAAACGCTGAACGAGTTATGCAGTCATGACAGATCGTGACTTTTCCAAAAAATGTCGATTTTTTATTTGGTATTTTCGAGTAATTTCGGTTAAAAGTTTTGGCTGCATGACAGGTTGCACCAAAAAATGCAGGTTTAAATTCAGAATGTAGCTAACACATTGCCTTTCAGAAAAAATATTAAACCATTTAAGCTTTAAGAGCGCTGGTTAGAAATTTGCTTTCAAAAACTTTGTTTGCCGGTTTCACGAGAATTACTCGTGCAACGTCTTTGCTATTCAGCGCACTGGCCAAGCACGGTTGCTAGAATACTGCAGTTCCTTACAATAAAAAAAAACGAGAAACAACCCCTCTACCAAAAACAGTAAAATAAGCTGCCTTAATGCCATTAGTTGGAGAGCAAGAATTTTTAATTTAGAAACGGATAATTTTAGATTTTCGCTTCCAGGACATCGTCCAAACCCAGCCAGTTCTACAAAACAATTTATAAAAAATTTCGGCCTTATGGTAAGTTTGACTTCACTTAACTTTTTTATGTTAAAAGCAATGCTCTATCGAATGAAAATCGGATAACGTCAATTAAGTGTTGGACGGATCCAGCGCACCATGATAAAACAGACGGCCATTTTGTTCAGCCACCCGGTAATCGTGTGCAGATGATGCAATTTGCATTAGGGCTGACATATTTCGACAATCTGACGATCTATCAGGAAGGAGTTTTGTTTGATTGCTCTAAATACAGTGCATGTACAAATATAGGAGGTTTATACTGGAGCAGCAGCAGTACATTGCAGCATTGTTGTGACCACATCGATACAGAACAAATGCGGCTTTTATAGGACTTCCGCTTCGCGAAAAAAACGATTCCTCACGTGCACGACTAACTGCTTAAGGGAAGTGGCCCGGTACATGGCACCAAATCCTTTACATTCACGAAATCTTTCACTTTTGCGCACTCCCAAACCCTTTTATCTTTTGTTTTATGACATTCTGTAGCCAGATGATTTGCATACACAAGCCAGAAAACCATTTGTGCGCGCAACATCCGGTTCGGGAGTTAGGGCTCCTAGAAAATTCAATAAAGTTTAAATGCATTCAGGTGTACCGAAAGTCTCATTATGGACCGATCTCCTTCTAATTTTGCGCGTAAATGCACCTGGCCAGGAAGATCGTTTTTGCACCGATTCCAGGATTCCAAGAGTTTTTTTTCAAATTTTAAAGTGAATTTTAAAATTTTTGAAATTCATTTTAAAATTTGAAAAACATGCTGGAACAGTGGATCGGTGTAAAAACGATCTTCATGGCCCTGTGCATTTACGTGAAAAGTTTGAAGGAGATTAGTTCGTGATGAGACTTTTGGTACACCTGAAAGCATTTAAACTTTTGGGAATTTTCTTACAGCCATAACTCCCGAACCGGATGTTGCGCGCACAAACGGTTTTCACACCAGTGTACACAAATCATCTGGCTACAGAATGCCATAAAACGAAACAAAGATGTGTTTTGGAGTGCGCGAGAATGAAAGTTTCCGTGCACGTACACGAATTCAGTACCATGTACCGGGCCACTTCCCTTAATGCTCGTATACAGATATACGAATACTAGCTATAGTCAAAGCACAGCCAATAATGCTAAATTCAAGGGTAAGGATAACGGTGTAATTACCGACTCCGATAACGAGTACATGCACACTGCGTTTTGATTAAAATCAAGGTACTTAACTTTTAACTACATGCGGTGCAGCACTGATTGCATAACAGCAGCGCTCTGTAATTTAGTCACTTTAATAGCTCATAACATTCTTGTCTTATAATATTTTCAAAATTTGCGGGTTATTTGCAGTCATGGATTTATGCTATGCGATTGTGCCCCGGTAGGACAGGTTCACCCTTTATCCGCGCCCTTGCGTACCGCATATGATTAATGTTGTTGCACTAATCTTTCCACAAACAATACGAGTAGGGATCGGCACACGATGCAACAGTGCAATTAAGAACCGCGTGCACATGTACACTGGGAGCGGTAATTCTTGTTTGGTATTGTCCACTAATTTTAGCATCATCAAAATTAAATAATACGCTGTGTAAAAGTTGTTGATACTGCGATTTATCTTTCAAATTAATCCGATCACAGATTTTGTGCAATTATGAGCGCAAATGCACAATGCAGAAGTGCCTAGTTATGTTCGTAGACGGTAATCTGAATAATTAAGAAAATTATTCAGTATATGGCACTCGTACAAATGGTAAGGGAAAAAATGCTTTGAGTGCGTGAAAGCGAAATTTCCATGCCTGTGCCTACACGGATCTGGTACAAGGTACCATGTTACGGTACGAGGTACCTTGCTGCTCTCATGCATGCAACATCTGCGTAAATCACTTGTCATAAATTATTACGTCGTCAAACACGTATATGTTGCCGAACTTTGTGAGTTAATTGTGAAATTGTGGTTATGTGTTAAACGGTGATTCCATCGTATGTGGGTTAAAAAAACGTACCCGAAACAATAAACAATCAAACTGAACTGAGGCAAACGGCCTGCGGTACCTGGTACTAGTATATGTAAACCCGGATATAGATATATAAACATTTACTGCAAACGTTCCCTTAAGGGAAGTGGCCCGGTACGTGGTACCAAATTCGTGTATATGCACGAAAACGTTCAATTTCGCGCACTCCCAAACACATTTTTGTTTCGGTGTACGACATTCTGTAGCCAGAGGATTTGTATACACTGGCGTGAAAACCGTTTAGTAAAGTATCATTTAGAATTCAAACAAAATAAAGATGATTTTACGGAAAAGCGGGTTTTAATTACGCAGCAGCATATACGTCATAAACCGGTACATACATTCACATGTGCAGGCGGTCGAATAACAGAAAACATCTCCTTTAAATTCGCCGCCGATGGTGCTGTTCCCAATAGTAAGTATATTTATATAATACGGTTTTATTATTTGTTTCGAAATGCGGTTATCTTTCTTATACAGAAAACCTGCAGCTCTTTCACATGGAGGTTTATGAGGTCAAAAAATCATTGCGAGAACCCTTGTATAGGTACGTACATTCGTACGCCGGGATCATACTAGGTGCTTGGAATATCTACAGGTTAACCAAATATTGTAACTTGTACAGAAAAGAATTTTTTGTGGTTGTTTTATACAGTTTGTCTGCATTATGTTGCAGGTCATTTGCGCATGCTGCTTGCAGATATACGCGATATATTCAAGCATACTTCTATTACTGATTATTGTAAAATTATGATTATGATTATTTTAAAATCAGTATGACGATTACATCAGCTGGTATATAAAATATGTATCTATACGGTATTAAAAATTGTAAAGGTAATAAATATACATCAAAAACACACAGACGGTTATTGTAAGTATTATACGTAATTATAAGTGAGAAAACCTGTCGCTACCGTGCATATCCGCCATCAGATCCGATACTGAAATTAGCTTCAAAACTGGATGATTATTGTGAGTAATTGGAAAATTTCCCGATGGATGAATTGCCGCATAGTATTCCCGATGATACACATTGCACACTAATTTAAATAAAAGAAAGATGATTTCATTTTGCTTACACCACCGGAAGAGAAAAATGATTCTGCAGAAACAGCCAGAAACCTTATTTATTCAGCTGACGAACCGGTGAATCAGCCGCTACAACGTTGAAAAACGATTGGTCGACTTGCCGGAAATGGGCGGTCGGTCTGCCTCCGCACTGACTCACCACTTGTTGCCGCGGCTTATAAAGCCTGCTCGAAAGTTTCCAAACTGAAAGCCTGCAAGTTGCAACAGCGATGCAAGAGAAAAATCTGCTGACTTCTCAAATCTGCAGCAGATTTTCAAAATTAAAACCAAATTCATTTCTAATTTTATCCCTTCTTAAAAGTTACAGTTTATTTTAATTTATATTTCCTGTTATCCACACTAAAAAGTGTATGGATTATCTGTGATAAATTCCCATATTGGCGTAAAAATCGCCAGTGATCGAGAGTGCCTGATTTTTGTGTTGAACCTGGCTTTCTGATTTTGCGTTGATTTTTCGGGTAAGTCATGACTGTAACGTTCGCCAAGGTTTTCTCAATGTTCCGATTAATTCTGAATATTTTTTTAAATTTTCTACTATTATATTTTGCAAAATGCGTGTGGTGGTACGAAGATGAACGCGGTAGATGTACGTTTTTGCCCGGTTGCGAGTTTGCATGTTCAAACACGTTTTCACGCGTTTCGGTTGGGTTCGCGCATGAACACGGTTCTCTGCCTCCCGCTGCATACAATGCATTTTTTCATTCTTCCTATCTGGCCACCCACGCGTCAACAACCGGTTTATGGGGTTATGATTTATGAAACTGAGCGGTGGTGTTAATTTTCCCGACAATCTGCGCTGTTGTATGGTGATTATTTGTGCACCTGTTGAATGTCGTTGTGCGCATTCATTACGCATTTGACGATGATACTGTCTGCATTCCTGCATGAATGAACCGCTTGATCGGTGCATTTGTCATTTTTGTGTGCAGGTGGGTACGAATAGGCCGGATAGTTGTGGCGGACGGCGGAGAAGGGAAGGGAAGGCCTGGGGCTGTTTTTTTGATCAAGTTCGTGGTGAGTGTTCAAATCCGCAAAGATGAGGAAAAAATTTTTAAAAATATTCAGTAAATTTTTAGAATTATTCGTTTGGTTTGAGGGTTTCGGGAATTTTAGTAATTCTTAGGAATTTATTCGCCGGAATTATTATTTGACGATTTTAGAAATTATTATTCCGTTGAGTTTGTTTATTATTTTTTTTATGAACCGCTTTGATTCATTTTGTTTTCAGTAAAAAATTCTTAAAAGATCATTTTTTACTATGAATATTATTGAATTTTGCTGTTGTTGATTTTATTGTGTTGCTTTTTTGGAATTTCACGGTGTTGCAGTTGTGTTATAAAAAATACTGCGTTCCTCAAGTACTAACTCAACGTATTTTTTCACTGCCTGATTCAGTTTCAACAGGTGCAAACCGTACACACTTCTGTTTTTTTGGCTATTAATAGAAAAATACATAAGTGACAGAATTGTTGAAAAAGAAATTATTAGAAAAAAATACATTAAAAGAAAATTTTTGGTTATTAATATAAAACTAATTATATTTTTGAACAGTTAATAGGCTGATATGTGTTTCATGCGATAGGATGCCCGAGATCTCAGCGCCTTTTCACTACGATTTTTTCATTCTCCATGTAGTTTTCGTCTGAAGGTTTACGATTGATGCTTAATGAGTGATTGTTTCCAAATCTCTTGTTAAAAGTAATCATGTAGATTTTAAAGTGTGGAATATAAATAAATAAAAAGGTTTTTGTACAGATAGTTCGGCAGATTTCCAATTTTTGTCGGTCTTGTGCATCAATTTATTCACAGAAAATAAATTTGTGTATAACTAATCACCGATTTCCGTTTTCTTTTTGTTTTCGTTGTATTTGTGTTTATTTACTGTTGGTTTACTTTAGCGATTGCCACGGGTGTGATAATTTACCGTAGATTTATTTTTATAATTTCTCCGAAAATGTTCAGCGGATAAAACGTTTACGTCTGTGAAAAACTCCCTGGAAGCGATAAATTCGGTTATCTTTTGTTTGCTTTGTCCGCGCTGGAATCGGCGATTTTATTTGGCAAGTCTGGCTGCGTAGCGCACAAGTGCCCATCACGTTTTTGATAGTTTACCGATCCGCAACACGGCAACAGAGCAAACATGCGAGTGCTTGTGTCGTAAAATTTTGTCCGCTGTTTTCATACGATAAACAACGATAACGCTGACGCATTGCGGCGGCGCAACCTTCGTGCCGAAATTACGACAAAACGTTTAACCGGTTGCCGGTGTGCGTGATAAAGCGGATTAGTTTAATTACTGTTTTTCTGTTACGCTTGCCGAAAATACCGGCAGAATAAAAACGGAGCGCTTGGAAAACTGTCTCGTATTGGCTGTTTTTATTTACGGTAAATGCATCGTATTTTATTTATTAAAAATAAATTTGCTATTCGTGTTTTTTTAGATGAATATTTTATGCCGCTGTATAATCGATATTAATTTAGGATGGTTAAATTTTGAAATTTTTGCAAAACGTAATTTCTGGTGCTTCCAAGATTAAGGCAATAAATTTCGAAATTCTCAGGTATGTGAGATATTGTTACATAATTTAGTGAATGAGAAGTACACATATAATGTCTCTGTATTTTGATGTTTTAAATATTTGTACACGTTATACTGATATTTTATCTTTAATTTGTTTTTCATGTTAAAACGAGTGGTAATCAGAATGTCACTTCTTTAAGATATAATAAACTTTAATTTTTCCTTTTTTTAAGTTCTAATGTTTCTGTTTTTTAGATTTTTAATTTTTCTGAATTTGTAATTTGTTTAAATTCTCAAGAAATGTTTTACTTGTAGTTGTGGACATTCTGTAAAGAATGGAAGAAGATAGTGAAAGGCACTCGAACAGCTATCTCCGGCGCCGGCACTCCGGCAATGGCGATCGTCTCCGGTTGGATACTGCCGAATCCTCCCCGCCCCGCTCCCGCTTAGTCCGGGAGAATTTCAAGTATTTTCCCGTGCAGATCCCCTCCTCCCAGGTGCTGATGGAGCGCATTGTGGAGCGCGTGCGCGGTGTGGAGAAACTGAAGGAAATCACGACGAAGAGCATCAGCGTTCCGCTTCTTCTCAATTCCGCCGGCCTACCAATCGATCAGGTTCCCGAAGACTATCACGAAGTAATTTTTAAAAAATTTTCTTTAGCGCGTAATGCGAGGTTTTCTTTTTTTTTGCTGAATTTTTAAAAACCTGTCTAATCCGCATCATTTCCAACACAGCAGAATAAAATAATCGTCGTGTTGAAAAATCGGAAAAAATATTTTGTCGCACCGGTAGATTGCCGGTAAAGTGACAGTATCAGGTTGATAATTCTCGATAATTTTTATTTTGGGTGTTGTATTTGTTTAGCCGTTCATATTGAATGGATACCGCTGTCACAATATCGGCGCGTACCAGTCGCTGCGCAGTGGCTTCCTGGAGCGGAATAACGAGGCCATTAACGTGTGGACGCATTTCCTGCCCAGGTAATGACCGAAGACAACCATAGGAAATGCAGCAGAAAACTTTTGGGTTTATCTTTGATTTTGCGCCAATTTGATCGCCGTTTCTGGGGTCATCATTTCCAGGTTTACACCTTCATATCTGTTGTAGTTGGAGTATCCTTATTTATCAATTTTCCTCTATTAATAATCGTAAATAAAATTAAATATATACATACACATGCGAATTGCATCGGATGGCAGACAAGATGCTTTCGTAGTGCAGCGGCACGCGCAGAATTTGATCCATTGATAGCGTGGTAAGCCGTTCGGCATTTAAAATGAGACGTCTTCAGTTTTGCGATAGAGGTTTTTAATTCGTTCGGATATATTTTTTTCGCAGGAAGGAACAGTATTTCAATAAAACACTGCAAATAAATAGAGTCTGCTGGCTGCCGTTAGCCGCTGTAATTTTTTGATGTTATAGTTGATAATCATTTGCAAAACTAGCTGAGGGAATAGCTGATGGGCGGATTAAACTGTCTTAAATTTATTGGCCAAAAAATTATTCTTTTGCTACGCGTAAGTAATTAATCCAGTATATTTAGTCCGTTTCGTTGTGGACGCCAAGAGTATGTAACGTTGATGCGGGATGTACGGTATGTTGAGCTGACGCGGTTGCTTTTCCCTCTGCAGCGTGTACTTTCTATGGCGGTTCTGCAACCACCTGGGCAGTGTGGAATACGGCGACGCCTACTTTACGCCGTGGTTCCTCTACTCGCTGACGCTGGTCATGTATCCCATGCTCTCCTCCCTGGCGCACGCCCTCAACAACATGTCCGTCCGGGCGCGGCACATTTGCTTTTTTGTCGACTACCTCGGATGCAGTTGGTATACTGTTGGTACGTTTAACATATATTATATTTTTATAATAGATAAATAAAATACGAATTAGATTGAAGGATTAATAAAAATACAGTAAACATTTTTTCGTTCCGTTTGTTTTGGTGGTGATTTCGCCTTGGATGAATTTTGGCCCAACACGGAAATTTATGGGTGCATCATAAATAATAATATTTCGATTAAAAACTGACTGCAAAATGTACGAAGAAAAATATTTTGTGGAAAACGTTCTTCGTGAAAACAGAATAAAATTTCAACGGCAGAGTATATAAAACGCTTGAAATGAGTTAGAATAATTTTATTAATATTTATTTGTATGGATTGATTGCCTCTGCACGAAATACTGAATTGTACATGACTGTTCAATTTAATTAAACCGGTATTTGTACAGGAGCGGCCATTTTATACCACGCCTACTCCTTCCCCAGTGAAGCGCTGGGCAGCGTCTTCGACCGCTACTTCATCTGGATCGCCGGCCTGAACGCGGTGCTCAGCACCGGCACGGCGTCCGCATCCCGCTTTCTTCCGGTAAGTCCAAAACACTGACTGTGGGATCCTGTAGTGGTTATGGGTTTGACTGGCCTTCGTGGCTCGTGTTATTCCCGTAAATGCCGCCAGATGGTCCATTCAGTCTTACTACTGAGTCGGTACTCTGTAGTGTTTCGTAGTGAAGTGGATTCTTTCGCTCAGACCAGTTCCAGTGATCTTACCAGTACATTTGTATTTACGAATTACGATAACATGATGTCATTTTTATCTTTAAATTACGCTCACTTTATTTAAAATAATTAATTTAATCTTCGCCTAATAATAAGTCCGTTTTTATGAGGCAGACGAAACATTCGAAATCATCGCTTCTTGTTTCGTTACAAGCTTGACGTCAGCCCAACACAACTGTCGATCAAGAAGGGCTTTTTAGCGACCTAGATCCAATGGTCTGCGTACTCGAGCACAGTAATATGGGTATGTGGTTGCAGCCGGGCAAAGTGCGGAAGACCGTGCGGGTGTTGGCGTTCGGGCTGCCGTATCTGTACGACAGTCTGCCGCTGTTCTACCGCTTCTACACCGGCACGGAGCATCCCTCCGAGTTGGCCGCGCTGGACCTGTTCTTCCGCAAATTCATCATGACGTCGCTGGCGCTCTTCTTCTACGGCTTCCATGTGCCCGAGCGCATTCTGCCGGGACGGTTCGATATCATCGGGCACAGCCATCAGCTGTTCCACATCAGCAGCGCCGTGGGTACGCTATACGGGATTTATTACTAATTTTTTAAAATTAATTACATAATTCAATTATTCCATAATCGAGCGGAAGCAAAATTCAGTTATTATTAAATCGTTTACATTAGATTTAAATTGGCTTTATGATGACTCAATTAACTCTATTTAACGCTATTTTCTGTCGGTAACAAACCAGCTACAGGCGATCTTTTCCCTGGGTATACAGGCAAATTTGTTTTAAAACTGAAATTAAATCTGAATAAATTAAATACCGATTAACGGTAATTGTCTCCCGTCCCAGCGAAATTCTGGGTTCTTTTTGGTGGCTTTCTCTTTGAAAATTTCTTTCCATATTACTACCGCAAAACAACCCTGCTTAGCTAAAGCCAAAACTACATAATTTGACTCGCTGACCAAACCTACTACGAAGTAAAAAAATCGATTTGAAATACACTGCTTCATCCGTAGCAAAATAACCCCATCTGGAAAAGCAGCAGAAATTTCTAATCGGTCAAATTATACGGAAGCCTACAGAACGAAAACTGCAATAAAAAGAAAATATCGTAGTGAAGTGGTGATGTAAGCTGGATGTCCTGAACGTGCAGTATTAATCAACATGCCGAACTACAGATTAAATCATTATTTAGCGAAATAGATGATGTTAAATTTTTTAATAAAAACCCAGCAGACCGAAGATTTTCCGTACAGCAAATATCTGGTAAAATGGTGGCGTGAATGTTTTTTCTGAATAAAATAAAAGTAATTAATAGCAATTTGAAACATAAATAATATTGTTTGCAGCGAGTTCCTATCAAATGGAGGGCAGCTGGCTGGATCTGCAGGCCCGCCGCGGCCTCCTGCAACTGCCCAACCACGCCCAGCACGTAGCCTGCGCTTCGCTCGTCGCCTGGAGCGTGCTGGCCATCAACACCGGGATTGTCCTGTTCTTCGCCTGGCGCATCATGACGGCGCCGGCGCCCCCCGCTGTGATCGTCCGCAAAACGGTGCCAAGCCCTGTTGAGACCAAATCTTTGCAAAACTGACCATAAGGTTAATATTTGTGATTTTTGTACTAAGTGTTGTTGATTTGATTTTGTGCTTCTATAGAATTTTAGTCAATTGGTGGTGGGAGATTTCGATGTTCTTATTAAATGGAAAATAGATGCTTTGTGTTTTCTAGCGCCTGTAATAAATCAAAGAAGGCCAAAATTAAAAGCGATAAGACGTTTATTCGACAAAATTACCAGTTCAGAGCGGAAATTTGTTGACGAAAAATTTCAAAACATAGAAAGATTTCTGTTTCTTATTAAAAAAATACTTGCTCGCTCGGCAGAGAGAAAAATTGAACCAAGAAGACTTTTAAGTTTATTTAATGGCGAAAAGCAACCGAACCCAGGCTAGCATGCGACGCTGTACTACGAAATTCACTGAACAGATTCTGCCTTGTCGTTCGTGTAGTTTGATGGTTCTCAGTCCAAACAGTCAGTGTTGTCATAAAATCTGGTGACTGCGCGCATCCTGAGTTCCCAAAATCGGCGTCTTCAGAGTCACTGCTTCCCGTAAAACCTGGGACGAGACTGCGCCGGGCATTTTACCGGCTGCAGTAATTTCGCACTCCGCTAATATAAATCAACATTAAGTGTCCTCTGTCGACGCATACAATACCACTTGCAGTCTTGCTAAATGTATAACCTGACTTCCAGGTTTCTCCTGGTCAGCGTCTACTCAGTAGCTACATATCCGACAACAGTTTCGATCTCAAAAGGTTATTTTTGGCAGGAAAACGAATCCATTGAAAACATTTCTGCAGCCATATCGTGTTCATCGCTTCCGCAATGGGCTGCGTCGGCGCGTGCTGTCTCGCGTCTCTTCCACGCAAGAGTTAAATTCAAGATGTGTCTAGTACACAGCCGTAACAGGAACACAAGCCACGTTTTGTTTATTATCACCCGCGCACATTTTTACTTGAGTCCTGTTATAGTGTTACGAAAACCTTATCTATAAGATTACACTTTTGCTAGTCAGTCACCGAGGAATGTCTACGTTTTACAGTGTTTTCATACTACAAAGGTCACTCTGAAAGTTTTGCATTGACTTTTTAATTTATAATGAGTACGATTAACTCAACATTGCTGACCAATGTCACGCCAGTAATCAGTGCCGTCCAACCGAAATGGACGCCCTTCCTCACCGGCCAAGCCGTGGTCCTCGGTCTCTCGCTCTTCTCCAACATCCTGGTCCTCATCGAGTTCCTCCGCATCCCCTCCCGCATCACCCCCTTCACCGTCTATTTAATCGTGCTCCTCCTCAGCAACCTGTTATTTCTCAGCGTCGTCCCCTTAACGGAACTATCCAATCAGCTCTACGGCCGTTGGTGGATGGGGCGGGCCGTGTGCTACCTCCACAACTACTTCAACGGTGTCGGTTCCGGCTCACAGATCTGCATCCACGTCTCCATCTCCATCAACCGCTTGTGGGCGGTGCATTACCCGATTTCCTATAAAAACAACCATAACAAAAAAGTTGCGTTGCTGACGTGCTTATCCGCGGTAATTTTCGCCCACGTCATCGGACTCCCGGGCTGCATCATGGATATCATGTACTACGGTATTGACTTAAAGTACGGATGCCATATTAATTATTTGGCGCAGGTGTTGTGGGGGAAATTCGAAAACGCGTTACTGCATATTCTGCCGTTGGTGCTGATTATCGGAGCGTACGTGCATTTATGTATTAATCGTGTTCGCCGACGAAGAAAGATCCGGGAGAGCGGCAGCGGAAAGGTCAGTGCCGGGACGTCTACGGAAGATGGGGGAAAGCGGAAGGAAGCGGTTCGGCCGTTTTTGGTGTTGTCGTTGACCGCGGTCAGTGTGACGGTGTGCTGGACGCCGGCCGTGGTGTACTTTGCCGTGATCAAGTTTGCCGGCTTGTGGATGCCGGAGTGGTTCTTTATCCTGTCGGTCATGTTCTACTCCATGCAAGCGCTATTTGATCCGTGGTTGTTTGCCGTGGCATTGTTAGCCACCAATCGGAAATGGTGTAGTTAGCGAGGGACGCCGTGGGTTAGGTGTGCGTGACCACCCCGCGCGGCTGAATTGTTGTGAAGATTCGGTTTCCTTGTTGCATGCAGACTTGCAATATCATCCTGCTGTCCTATCGATCATGATCAGTGTCACACAGCCAGCCCATCAGAAAGTTAGAAAAATGTATTATATTATGCATTAGTTTCATAACCTGTGTGTGCGGAAAATTAATAGCGTTCTACGTATTAAAACAGTTTATACTACCAAATACCAAACATATAGTCAGAAGTCCCAGGTGCCATCGCTGCTGCTTCCTTCGCTCTAGATGATATACTGCATTATGTTACATAACCGGATTACTCATGTAGTAATGTAACCTATGGTCATATATGCTTTTCCCTATGGTCATGTACCTATGGTCATGTGTGCGTTTATCTTATGGTCATAGTCCATGTTTTTGCCTTTCTCATGCCCTTGTGAGCCAGATGTACTGACAATGCGTGATTGTCTGATATTAGGTCGTTTCCCTGGATGTCCTGTTATTTCCGGCTTAGGCCGTTATATAAGCTCATGTTTACTTGTTATTTGTTAGTTCTTAGCTGAGTATCATTAAAGTGGCTAAAACCCGATATTCTTATACGTCTACGGATAGTGTAAGCGTAGCAATTATAACGTGCAGAACATTAATCTTTACACAATTTACCTATTTCAAAATTCAGCAACGGTTCGATTAGTCACAGTGTCACATTTATTGGTTGCAAGTTGCCAAAGTTTCTAGAGCTTTTCATTTGCCATGTCCTGGCAGTGTAATCGGCAGGTGCTACTGCCAGGTTACCCGCAACTTTTACGCACATGCACAAGATCAAGACATTTTGCCCCGGCAATCCGTTTGGTGGGCTGTACGAGCGATGCCCACGAATGTCTGTACATCCAATCTCTCCTCCCCATTCACCGGGACATTTCACCACATAGAAAACTCCGACTGTCCCCCGACTTGTGATTATTCCACACTTCATCAACGGCAACGGCCGGCACCACCAGCTCGGAGAGTTCGAAGTTCGGGAAACTGATCAGCAGACGCTTGACGATGCCGGCCGCGCAGCGCTGCATGCCCCAGACACGTGTAACCCGGGTTTGGAACGAAGATGGACACATCCAATTCCGCGCTGGTGTCAGCGCTGTCCCATACCCATACCAGGACCCAGGTGGCTGTGAGTACCCAGGGCGTCCTCGTAGCTCAGCAGCGGTTAGACGAGACGGCATGATCCGTGCCCCAGTAGATAACATGACCTTTTGTAACATAGTGATTACTTGTCGTAACGTGGCACCGGAAGTAGGTGTGTCGATTTTCTGCTTTAAATTTAGCACTGCTATGCCTCAATAAATTTTGATTTTAGCAACTTTGATATACTGTAATTTGATATAGATTTTAACAACTTTGTAGTTGTAAGTACTTATTTACGGCCGTACTGTCTCTGCAAATTCTTGCACTCATGCATGTTGCCATTTCGGACTGCTATTCGATCCATGACGGTTAGGTAGCTCTTTCCAAACACATCAGTTGCTGCGAATAAAATGACAAAGGGCAAGGGTTATTTGGCCACTGTTGTGCGCACTGCGCAGCGTAGTTGCACGAATAATTTGCACGGAGATAGCAAAGGCATAAACTCGGCAGCGGCTTCAACCGGCGAATCCCGATCGGTTTAATTTATAATTTAATTCTTGGTAATTATCTGGAGAGGTAATACACAGCTGTCCCATCTCGTGCGAGCTGGAACAAAAGTTTTATTTGATGTGTTTCGTGTGACGCTGTTGCATCCAGTCATAAACAGTTCGGGCAATGATTACAACGATTGGCTACTGCCTGCGTAAATTAAATTACAATGGTTATCACTCGAAGTGCAGTAATAATGTGTTCGATCTTTGCAAGCTGAGAAACAGAAACGTACTAGCTGGATAGTACCGCGATGCAAATTGTAGTCTGCAGTTTGTTTATAACACCACATAGCAAACACACAGGAACGGATTATCTCCGTTTTATCACCGCCGTCAGTGCACTTTGTCAGCATGACCTACTAGTTGTCCCGAAGGGAGATTGAATAATTTCACCAAAAATGTCTCGTTCCAAACGTTATGCAAGGCAATTTGGGGCAGCCCCATAGTACAACTTTGATCTGGGATGATGGATATACGGGCAATTCGGGGATCGGTGGCCAATTCCCACAGTAATTTTCCGTTCGACTTGTGGAGAGATTCGTCGTGCAGTACCGGTTTCCAGCAATCAAAGGTGTAGTGTCCATCCACTTCGCACTCGTCGGCACCGAGCACCACCCAGCCAATGGGACCGGTCGCTACACCCCCTACCGCTGCCGCCCAAGCACCGCCCCCTAAACTCCCTGTAAGGCCTCCCACACATCCGGTCGTCATGACACTTGAGACCGTCGCACTGCCGCCGCTAACTAAAGCGCTGACGGCGGTTAAAGAGCCGAGAACACCACCACCAGCAACAGCAGTTCCTACGGTTGTCCCAATAGTTGCGGCAGTCCCAGCGCTAGCGGCGGCAGCGGCGGTACTAATGGATGCTGCCGTAAACCCTGCCGCTTGGCCGACTCCGGCCACTCCAGCAGCCGCCGCCGGTATTGCTGCGCCTCCTGTGGCCACTACAGTAGCCACTGTCGCAATTGCACCCACAGTCAAAGCAACCATTGTTGACTGGATGCCTGAAATCACAGTTGAAAATTATGCATAAATATTTCAGCATCGCTTGAATACAGCAGATTGTGGAAATAGCTTGGAGGCAAGATTTTATTCTGTACCTGGCAATCGGCAATTTTCGATCGAGATGCTGCTACACAGGCAACAACTATGTGCAACTCGTATATTATTACAGTCTGTATATTATAACTATACAATTGTACATGTATGAATGCGTTGGACCATGTGCGCTCAATAAAACCCTTCAAATCCCGTTATTAGCCAATTAATACCAAAATTCTTGGATTATATACAGTACTCTGTATCGTGATAAAAGGCTGCATATATACTGCACTACTACTCTGGTGTGGCTAAATGTTTTGCTATGTCAATTAGCAACCTTGCTTTATTTCTTTATCGTTCATACACGTGTTACTTATCTCTTGCGGTATAGTGGAACTTTTTATGTGTTGAATTTTACTTAACGGCCAACCCATTTATTAAAAGAACAGAAATGGGATCAAGCATGAGGAATGCATCAGAAGTTTATCGTAAAGCAAGCGAGCACACTGCGCACGTCTGTTGAACTCCCATCCATCACTTCGTCCTCGAATATGTGAAAGTGAATTTATTGTCAACAATCCACAAATCTTTGAGTGGGTTCGGAGTTCCCGAACGAATGTTTGAGCTTGTTATCGGTCATGACTGATAAGCAATTAATAATTTACTGATGAACAGGGCCGTACCCGTTCGTCATTAATTTTGTTACAGTAGTTCCATTGACTGCTGGCGAACAACTAGCGCGCTAGGACTATGATCTACCAACATTACTGCACATGTTAACTGCAACTCGCTAGAATACTATCATATAAAATTCTTCCGCTGCGCTCAGCGCTCCACTCCCGAGCAGACAACGCCATTCTATTTCCGAGTTTGAATAAAGTGTAGTGTTAATTGCTTTTTACGGGTTTTTGTTGAGAGCGATTGGTCTTCTAGTGCGTGAGCTGCAGTTTAAAAAGCGTAAGTCATAACTTTTATGTGCATTGATCTACGATATTAGCAGCTCACGCTTGAACCGATTTCTAAGTGTATACACCTAGTTGCTCTTCTCTCCATTATTTTTTCTATGGTGTCCAAATCATTCTATCCTGGCTTTACTCTAAGCATATCTGCAATCAAACTTGACTACTCGTACCGCTGTACAGAAACATGTGGCCTGTTTTCAGAAAGCATTCCAAATATGACGGTAATCACCGGCAGCGTGATTGGGGCCGTCGCAACAGCTGGTGTGGCCACAGGTCCGGCTGCATTCGGGGCTGCTGCGGGAACATTAGTGAGCATCCTCAGCGGCAGCACAGTGGGCATGGCCGGGTCAACGTTGGGAACAGCGGCTGCTAGCGGTGGTGTAATGGGAGCCGTAACGGGGTCACTCGCATCCGTCCTTGGCAATGCTACACCATACTCTGTCATTCACGGTTCCCTACTGGGAGCAGTCACGGGAGCTGGTTCGAGTGCTGCCTATACCGCGGCTGTCGTGGGTGCTGCCAGTGGGCCCCTTAGTTTGTTGGTACTGGGTGCCGACATCGCTGAATCGGATGCAGCCTGCACCTTTGATTGCTGGAAGCCCATACTGCACGATGAGTCCACTGAGCCCTCCAATGGGATGCTGTTACAAGATGTCATAGCAGATAAGCGGATTGCCGATGTCACACTTTCCTTCAGCAACCTGTCAGATCCCCATATCGTACTGCACAACATTTGGGGCGAGATGTTCCGCATCGATATGGTTTCCTTGCCTTCTGGACATTTGGCAACGCATGCCAACAAGATTTAATACTGCTGAAAATAAATTATTCTGTCCTGCAATGATTCATAGATCAAACCTGCTGCTCGGAACTTTGTTGAAATATCTGTATGTCGTATGTACGTATATCATATCGTATAATTATTGTCGTCCATGTTAATTGTATCTGTGTTCACTAATTAATTATATCTACATGTTTACGAAGTTTTATTCGACATCAGTCAATTCACAGATCAGATGGGCTAGCACAGGTTTACAATACTTAAAATGGTCAAAGATTTAAAACTGAAAAAACATCGAAAATCTTTGGTCCCATTAGAGATCTTAGGGCGTGCAATCGGTGTACCCAAAATCGCAACTGCATTTCCTCTGAGTACAGCAAGGCTCAAGCGCTGCCTTAAGAAGGCCGTAGATCGAGGTTCTCCAGTAACTTCGCGCATCTTACGGCCGGCGAAACGGATGAGCTCAGCAAAAGCCACTCCAAACGTACCGAGCGTCTCGACCGCCAGAGGGTAGAATAAATATCCCCGACCTTCGACGAGAGCATATATGTTGCGCTTGCTGTTTTCAGCCAACTCGGCTACGCTTCCGGCTTTCCTGGAATGGGCACTAACGGGGGACATGACCACAGTGCCCCAGCATGTCGCATCTATCTATATGTTAATTATATCTATATTACGAGTATTAAGTATCTATATATTGGTTTTTGAATATCTATATTAATTTATCGTTGTCGAACAATATGATGATCGAGGGAATGAACATTGGAACTCGGCAACTTCTTTTTTCTTGTTTAATAAGCCGCTGCGCCTTGAGCAAAGTCGCAAAAATGGTTACGGTTTAAACTGACGAAAAACGTATTTATAACAGAATTCACGTATTAAGTTGGAATAGAGCATTACAGACAGGGTAAGGGTCCGGTATTCACGTACAAGCCGGTGAGCTTAACCACGGCGAATTACACCCCCGCCGGCGTCTAGCACGTCACACGGACGTTGTCAACGACAACACCAAGAACGGTCGCTCCGCTTCTTTACGCTTTCCGCCTTTTTTCTGCTTTATATGTCATTTAAGAATTAGCGGAAATTAAATTACCGCGTAATTTTGTCAGTTCCCTGTACATGCATCCCTGTTCCTTCCGGCACTGTTTCAGGCCGTATGCATCTTGCCTGTGCACATCGTCTATCGTTGTCGTTTTGCCATAACGGTTTTCACCTGTTGCTAACTGTATAATTTTTGATAACCACCCGCCCGCCCTACTTTAGCGGCGGCATTACTGTAGTTGTTTTCACGGTTTATGATGTATGCTATCAAATCAATAAAGGGGGGCAAAGAAATCGGGCGCAGGCGGAGGGTGCCGGCAGTGAGCGGTCTGTGCCGACAGGTAAGGCTCTCAGCTGCAGTTGTGCACCTTCGGCCATGCCGATGACATTTAACTCCACAAAACGCACGTCGCGTTGTCTCACAGATCGGAATACCAGATCAGAATCTGCGGATAATTTAACTTATAGTAACCTTCACTGTAGAATAACCTTCATACAAGCGCATTTCGAAACATACTCACGGCTATACGTTAGTCGTAACAGATCACTGTACGATACAGATGGGCTTTAAGTCACACAGGTCGACTACGTTGCGTTCGACTACGTTTCAAGGTGTGCTTGTATTATACTGTAGACAATTATTCTGGTTGCGGTGTTAGTGGGGTGCCGAGCAGCATAAATTTACGACGAATGCGCGGCTGTAGGGATTATAATTAGCGGTTGGCGGTCGTGGACGCTTTTAACTGACTTGGCGCAATTACTCAGATGGCCGACTGGGTTGGCACTGATTCATCCCAAGCAGTTAAACACAACACCGTAACTCACGGCATGTTTAATGGCAGGGGTGTACAAGAACGGAGACAGGTTTGAGATAAGAAATTAGGCAAGAAAGAACAAGTGGTATAGCAAGCGAGTGCAAGAATGAATTCCAAAAATTCAAGAGGAGGAGAACTAATCGGTGAAACGGACAGAAATTCATTACTAGACGAAATTTTGAAATATTGATGAATCATAACTGGGCGGTCTCGTACACATATTAGTGATATTACCGATACAATACATTAGCAAACATTAGAAGGATAATCACTAAGATACTGACATGCTATGCGGAAGTCGCACCGCGACAACCGCACTAGATGACCAAACCTACTCAATCGGTAGAGTGGGAATATGCTTTGGACTCCGTAAGTGGTACTACTGCCCACTTCCGCTAGGTACGATCGGATTGCTGTGCCTAACGAAAGTTACCGAACCCGAAACACTCAGGAACTTCCCAAATGTTTAATCACCAAACTGAATGAACGAACAAACAGAAAAGAACAGAACCGAACAGAACGAGATATGAACTTCCTTCTAACCTAGAGTCACACGACCTTTCAGCTAGCAACAAGCTCACAGATTTAGCTGAAGTTAGAAACTTCAGACTGATTCGTTAAACCAGAATCGTGGATGGAAATAGCGATCAAATCCGTTAGATAAGAACAGCAAGTCGTACGTAACAGAACTGACAACACGTACGTCATAACACGTACGTACGTAATACGCGCAACTACGCATAGCGCGTTAATACGCACGATTTAATACATTCTGTCCCGGCAAACCAATCGGCCGGCTGTACGCGGAATGCCCCACGAACGTCTGCACATCCAGTCCCTCGTCCGTATTCCCCGGAACATTCCACCACAGGGAGAATTCCGTCTTCCCTCCGGACTTGCGGTTGCTCCAAACCTCCTCCTTGGCCACGACCGGCAAGAGAAACTCGGAATGAACGCTTCGCAGGCCGGGAAAGTCCTCGGCCGATGCAGTACGGCGACGGCTGCCGCCGTCGGCCACATGCCACAGACACGTGTATCCGGGATGCGGCACCGGATTGAAGACGCTGATATCCCGCTCCGCGTTATCGCACACCCGTTCCAGCTGACTGGGTACGTCCAGAGCGTCCTGAAAGCCCGGCAACGGTTTTACGAGGATGGCCATGTCGGTGCCGCGGTATACGGCATGCGGGGTGTGGCATAGTGGCCGGGGTAAAAGTATCCGGAAGGGAAAAGGACTGGTTCCCAGATGGAAGCGTTCCGCGTGTCCTCGGCGGACCCCTCGCTGCCTGTATTGGCCCAGATCTGGTCAAAGTAGCGATGACAGTTTGTTTTCGGGGTCGGATCTACCGCCAGAGTCCAGCTGAGGATACACAGTAAAATCGTCGTCTAGTACAATTACATCATGGTAAAGTAGCAGTGAAATAACTTGTTGACAATCTATAAAATTACGTGCAGTATAACTAGTCTGGGTTGTTGAACAATTCTGCTGGTGTGTCTATTTAGTGAGCGATTAAAATACGAGTACCTGTGGAACAAGGAGCACTGACGAAACACTTTAAGTACTTGTTATGTTTTATTCAGCTTAACGTCTACTACGATCAGGATAAGTTCCTGCATTAGGTGGTAGACTACCGTAAACCAAGATAAGATCGAGACTTCGCAAAGTAAAACAAATATTCAAATTCAAATTTTACAACAATTTATGGTGATCAATATGCAAAAAACGTTTAGTCCAATTTAGATCCTTCCATTTGAGGGAATCCAGAGAGGTTTTGAAATAGCCGATTGTCCTTTATGCGTCCTTGGGTAACTTTATTTCGTTCCACAAACTGGCTAAGAAGGAATAACTCCGCTCACTTAGAAATATCCGTCCGTTAGATGATTCCGTTCCAGTAGGCTCCACTGCGTAGGGATGCTCGTCCAAGGCCGTTACCTGTCTCGTTCTACCTGCAACACAATCAGCAGCAGAACACTTCTCGCGAAATTTGAAAAATCTAGTTCCATAAGGAACCAGACCAAACAACAGTTTGTACATTAGCAATAACAGCTTTCGAATTCGACAGAACAACAGCGATTTGTACCCTCCTTTCTCAAGCGTTTCTGTGTATTCGAACGAACGCGGACCGAATCGAATAGTTTTTAAAAACCTTTCCTGACAGTTTTCTATTGCGTCAACTAACAACTTTTGCTGGTAAAATGTAACAGTACTGCCATATTCAGTTATCGGTCTTACTACTGAATCATACAGTCTTCTTCGTGCTGCACTATTCTGAAACGGAAAAAGCGCGTTTAAATACCGTATTCGTTTTTTCATGCGACTGGCTAAATTGTAGCAATGAGACTGCCAACTAAGATGGCGGTCAATGTGAAGACCGAGATATTTGGTCTCCTCAGCTACCGGTATACTTTCATTGTTTAAAAAATATAAACTGTCCTGCAGTTTGACACGTTTCTTCGTAAAACGAACATGAACAGATTTCTTTGGGTTAAAAGTCAGTAGGTTGGTTTTGGCAAACTGGGAAATTTTATTCAGCGCTAACTGAAAGTCTTCTTCGTCAGCTACACACTCAACTTTTCGTAATACACAAACATCGTCAGCAAACACAAATAATTCGCAATCAGTCGGCAAATCACCGATTTCGTTCATGAGGCATAAAAACTTTTGTGGTCCCACAATTGAGCCTTGTGGAACACCACTTGTAACATTTTTGAATGAAGATATCTTTCCATCAACAATAACTGCCTGTGAACGTCCCCTCAAATAGTCACTGAGAAGTTCGACTAACTGGCAGTTAACATTCATCTTACGTAACTTAGAAATTACGGTGTTGTGATCAGCTTTGTCGAAAGCATTGGTGCAGTCTAAGAAAACGCAGTCTACATCTACACCATTAGCAATAAAATCCATAACCTTTTGCACAAAAATCTGACACAAACGTTCTGGGGAGTGACCTTTACGGTAACCAAACTGATAATCGGAAATAAGTCTATTGTTGTTGAAGTACACAGTTTATCGGTTATTAAGAATTCTTTCGAATAGTTTAGAAACTGGATGGAGATTAGCAACTGGTCTCCAACTTTTTGGAATCGTCGAGTCGGAAGCACTGTTTAGGACCCGGTGTTACATAGGATACTTTCCATGAAACTGAATATTTTCGTTCAGACAGGCAGGTGTTAAATAAAATTTTTAATGGCGCTATCAACGCGGCACCGCAGGTTGTAATTAGCTCATTGGTAAACACGAACGGCCCAGAACTGTCTTAATTACACCCCAAATATCAGCTCCGTTTACAAAATTCTCTTCGGCAACAGGCAAACTTTCAATCTGTTCATCTTCTAAACAATGTACTGGACACGGAACTAGTGCGTCTAAATAATGGGAATTCAGAGCTTTAGCTTTTTCTTCGTTGGTGAATGCAATGAGGT